CATGTGTATACTTGCACAGTGTGCTGGTGTAAGTTTTTTACATGTGTATACTTGCACAGTGTGCTGGTGTAAGTTTTTTACATGTGTATACTCGCACAGTGTGCTGGTGTAAGTTTTTTACATGCATATACTCGCACAGTGTGCTGGTGTAAGTTTTTTGCATGCATACACTCGCACAGTGTGCTGGTGTATGTTTTTACATGTGTACACTGGCACAGTGTGCTGGTGTAAGTTTTTACATGTGTACACTCAGATGCAGTGATTCAGTAATCCTACTTTTTCCTCACTGTATTGGTTGTACAAAAAATATTTCATGCAGTTCTCCTCTATACATTTTAGAACACAGAATGTATAAGGCATTAGAACAGAATGTTCTATAATTTATAATTTATGTGGTTTTGTAACTGTATTGTCGAACAGAAGGATACGTATTGGATATAGTACCCTTATGTATCTTACAACAGAAGGATAAGTATTGGATATAGTACCCTTATGTATCTTACAACAGAAGGATAAGTATTGGATATAGTACCCTTATGTATCTTACAACAGAAGGATACGTATTGGATATAGTACCCTTATGTATCTTACAACAGAAGGATAAGTATTGGATATAGTACCCTTATGTATCTTACAACAGAAGGATAAGTATTGGATATAGTACCCTTATGTATCTTACAACAGAAGGATAAGTATTGGATATAGTACCCTTATGTATCTTACAACAGAAGGATAAGTATTGGATATAGTACTCTTATGTATCTTACAACAGAAGGATATTGTACCCTTATGTATTTCTAACAGGAACGTGGCTACTTTTATGGCCTTGTGCTTGGAGTATTGGATTGGCTACACCGGCAGGCCACTTTCCCGATCCATACTATTTAGCATTGTTTGCAGCTGGGGCATTACTGATGCGAGGAGCTGGCTGTACTGTAAATGACATGTGGGATAAAGACATAGATAAGCAGGTCTGTAAGACATTAAGTAATATGGGTTAAAAACACAAGTTTGCTGACAATATTTTTGCGATGAACATTTTTACAAACTCATGTAAAATGTGATGTGTTATTTGACAATAGTTATTTATAGGTAAAGATAAGTTCACATAATCGTTAATCACAACTGTATATTTGAGTTAAAGTTATATGGAATTCTACAATAAAAGTGAGCAAGTCACTAAATGAATATTTCTAATTGTGTATAAGTAAGCAGTAAAGATCCTTCTCTATATAATTTTTAACAACCATCTTTCAGAATTTTTTAACAGTAGCATCAGCTTATGTGAACATTTTTGTGTCTTTGGCTTTGTTTCGTGTATTTTCTTGCTGTAAACAAGACTATAAATTCAGTAATTGGCTATCTGAAGCAGCTTTCTGCTAATTACACCAGTTCTTGTGTTTTTAGATTTTTTAAAGGTGAAGAGTACATATTTGGATGACTTCAGTGTCGGGGAAAAATCTATTTGTTTTTATTATTATTATAAGGATGATGTAAGAGAAGATTCAGTGGAACATGTCTTCAAATGTAACATTACTTCAGGAAAGATAACAGAATATTGGAAAGAGGGCTGATATGGACTGCTAGAGAATAACTGTGAATATAGGCTTAAGAACATGGACTTACTTTCTCTAAAGTATAAAGAAACAGTGATTTTATTCAGGTTTTTAAGATGATAAGAATTAGGATGGTCAATTTAAATTATTAGGCTAAACTTTTGAATACCAGATGCAGACTATTAACTGACAAAATGATTTCTCTGCTAAAGTGATAAGCTTCTATGATGGTTTCACCTATGATGTGGTGTGCACTTTAAACTGTTATGAGTTTTCCAGATGTAAGGGGCCACATTTATTTTGTTTGGGTGTTTTGATGGGTGGAGGGGGTAACCCTTATTGTATTGCTTTCTATGAGGTTAAGTTTGATAGAATTTCTTTCCACAGGTTGCCAGAACTAAAGATCGTCCTTTAGCCAGTGGTCAGTTGAACATGATAGACGCGTGGGTTTTACTTGGAGGTCAGTTGAGCTTAGCCCTTTTTGTGCTGTTACAGTTGAATTGGTACAGGTAGGGAGTATTTAAATATGTACAACTTCTAGTTGCGAAAGAAATTTTAAATTTAATGTTAGTTTATTTTGAACCAATAGAAAAGAAGATAACATGACAGATCGAGTAATACAGCTCTAGTTAAATATGCTTCTTCTAGGCTAAGCTGACGGCCAAGCATGTAATCAGTGAAGAGAAAAAAAACAGTTTATTGCCATGTTGTTTTGTTTGATTATTGGTTAATGCTGCATTGTGATCCGTTAGGATAAAGTCAGGAAGTTTTCGAAGCTGATTTACACACACACTATCGAACACCACTATTGAAATAAAATGTTTGGAAAACTTAATTTACGAAGATAAAAGCCACATTTTGTTTTTTAGATTTATTAACAGTTAGTGTAAACCTAACGTCTCAGTCTTATTTTTCAGCATTGTACTTGGAGCGAGTTCTTTAGGGTTAGTAGTAACCTATCCACTCATGAAGCGTTTCACTTACTGGCCACAGGTGATGTTAGGTAAATATAGTTTAAACAGAATCTGGAAGACTTATTTTAATATTTGTGGTTAATTAAAATAGTAGAATATTTACAGATCTTAATTAATCTCATCAAATCTAAACTTACTTCATTATATATGGACTCATAATCTTGTTTTATAATATACAGATTTCTTGATCTTAATGATGTAATGTGATGGGAAGTATATAATATTAGGTTATGTAGGCTGTCATAATGTGGTTTAGGGACTGTAATATGACAGGAAGTATATAATATTGGGTTATTCATGTAGGCTGTCAATGTGGTTTAGGGACTGTAATATGACAGGAAGTATATAATATTAGGTTATTTATGTAGGTTGTCATAATGTGGTTTAGGGACTGTAATATGACAGGAAGTATATAATATTAGGTTATTTATGTAGGCTGTCATAATGTGGTTTAGGGACTGTAATGTGACAGGAAGTATATAATATTAGGTTATTTATGTAGGCTGTCATAATGTGGTTTAGGGACTGTAATGTGACAGGAAGTA